TTGCGTTTATTTTCGAGAGAGAGAGAGACAGAGCGCAGGTGGGGAAGGGGCAGAGAGAGAGAGGGAGACCCAGAATCTGAAGCAGGCTCCAGGCTCCGAGCTGTCAGCACAGAGCCTGACGTGGGACTTGAACCCATGAACTGTGAGATCATGACCGAAGCCATGATCATGACTGAGCCACCCAGACTCCTCAATAAGTTGAAACTTCTATCATTCTTAGTAAAAAAGTGTCTTTGCTATCTTTCTGCATAATGTGAGGGCACATTATACAAGGAGGGCACTTGTTGGGATGAGCGCTGGGTGTGACATGTAGGTGAAGAATCACTGGATTCTACTCTTGAAGTCATTATGGTACTATATGTTAATTAACTTAGATGTAAATTTTTAAAAAACTAATAAATTTTAAAAGAGGAAAAAAATTGGGGCCCTAATGTGTAGGATATTTCAATATTCACATTTTGTTGAAGAAATTTTTCTTCTTTGAGAAATGTGTGGGTTTTTAAAAAGTGTTTGTTTGTTTATTTTTGAGAGAGAAAGCATGTGTGAATGAGCAGGGGAGGGGCAGAGAGAAAGAAGAATCCCAAGCAGAGAGAGTGGGAGAGAGAATGCCAAGCAGACTATGTACTGTCCGTGCAGAACCTGATGTGGGGCTCGAACCCATGAGCCCTGAGATCATGACCTGGGTCAAAATCAAGAGTCACACACTTAAATGACTGAGCCACCAGGTGTCCCATACTTAAGTTATTTGCTGTGAAGTTTTGTTACAGAAGCCCATTTGGTCGCTATCAAAAATTGCTTTGAGTAGATTATTCAGTAAAACTCTTGGAGTCAAATTACTACCTATGTTTTCTTCTCTGTTTAAGTATGCAGTGACTTTTGCCATAGTCCTTCTTAAAGGATTTATTTAGATCCACACGATCTTTTATTGTTTGCTTAGTTAATTTCATAGTACGAATGTACATAATGATGAACATTAGGTGATTTTTTCACAATTATAGTTCTGCTGTGAATATTTGTGTCTATGTGTCTTTTGGTAAATGTGTAAATGTATTTGTAAAATAGATTCCTGAAGTTGAAATTGTATCAAAATGTGTATGCATTAAAAAATAAATAAAACAGGCACTTGGGTGGCGCAGTTGGTTAAACATCTCTTGGTTTCAGTTCAGGTAGTGATCTCACAGTTTTGTGAGTTCAAGCACCACATCCAGTTCTGTGCTGGCAGTGCAGAACCTGCTTGGGATTCTCTCTCCCTCTATCTCTGCCCCTCCCCTGCTGGTGCTGTCTCTGTCTCTCTCAAAATAAATAAATAAACCAGTTTTTCCTAAATACAAAATAGCACATTCTTTTTCTTAAGTCAGCATAAATGAATGTATTTATGTAAATGACTGTATTGAGAAATCAAACCTTTTCATTTTTAATAAATAAGCACAGGTTTCAGGGCACTCGGGTAGCTCAGTTGGTTAAGCGTCCGACTCTTGATTTCGGTTCAGATCATGATCTCACTGTTCATGGGTTCAAGCCGGCATGGGGCTCTATGCTGATGGTGCAGAGGCTGCTTGAGATTCTCTGTCTCCCCTCTCTCTATGCCTCCCCCTGCAAAAAAGAAATAAATAAAAAAAACCTTTAAGAAAAAAGGCAGCACAGGTTTCTAAAACAGACTTTTGAACAGATGTTTTCTATAATAGTTACAGTCTCAAGATTACTAGTAAATACTTCTTTGAACTATAAAAATGATCTTTAATGTTATAAGAAGTTACTGCTTTTTTAGTAAACATACATAGAAACTCATTTTTTTGATCATGAGAGAATAGGAATAATGTAATATAAATTGTATCCATTCTCCTATGTAAATATTCACTTATCTTTCTCCTATAAATGAAGACTAATTTTTCACCTAGTGCTTTTGCATTTCTAAAAGTATGAAAATTGCGTTTCAGTAGTTTGTAAGCTTTTATCAAGGCTTTTACTTAAATAAATAAACTTGTCTCTTGTTTAAACAAAAAAATGAGTCAAAAGTGTTTGGGATTTAGTATAATTTATTTCCACATTTGACTTTCCACATTTTTATGGAGTTAAATATATCCTTTTTTCTATATAATTTCTCTTTTTTAGTGTTTTACTAAAAAAATTAATTAAAAATTTAAAAATTAAATTAAAATTGAATTAAATTAAAATTTTAAAAAGAAAGGGGAAATTCAATAAGGCCAAACTCAAACTGGTTTTGGAAACTCAAACTGAAGCCTATATATTTATGTTTGTTCTCTTGGTTTTGTTTTTTTGTTTTGTTTTAGTTCCACCTGGGAATTTGAAGGTTCAACTATCATCTATTGTCCTTCCAGAAAAATGACAGAAGAAGTTACAGCTGAACTTAGGAAGGTGAAGTTAGCCTGTGGAACATACCATGCAGGCATGTGTGTTACTGCAAGGAGAGAGGTTCATCACAGGTTCATGAGAGATGAAATTCAGGTGTGAAGATCCATCATCATTACTCTCTATTCTTCCATGGATACAGATATTTGTCTAATATTTGCCATATCTTTATGAAATACTTTGTGTTGAGTTTAAAGAAGTCTCTCTCATAAAGGGAATTAATATATAATGTGTAAGATAGGTATATGAACAAACTACTGCAGACTAGTCTTAATAGGACCCTGCACATAGAGATTAGGTGCACAGAGGAGGGAACGCTAGCTGTTAAGGTAGCTTGTACTGTGGGGATGGTCCATCCAGGAAGAAGCTATTTGAGTGGAGAGTGAATACAAGTTTGTTATATGCTAGGCCAGTAGGTGATGAGGGAAAGGGCATCGGTTATGGAATTCCAGGAAAAGGGACTAGCATGTGCAAAGGCACTGTGGTATGAGAGGGCCTGCTGGGTTCAGGAAATTGGGAGTATGAAATGGTTAGAGAGAAAGGGAGTGTGGAGTAGGAATGGTACAAGGTATAGGTGAAAAGGCAGGGAGGAACTGTTAGAAGGTCACAGGAAAACAGCTTAAGGGGTGGTTGGCCAGGTGATGGGTGGCCTTAAAACCTGCAGAGAGGCAGGCTGGGATTGATGTGATATGCCTGTAGTTTTTCTAGACTACTTTAGCCTTAGAGTTTTTTATTTAACTTTTCATTTAAATTTTAATTCATTTTTTAATAGTTAAAACAAATTAAAGTAGAATAATTCTTGTTGAAGTTGATGTGAGGGAGAAAGTGTTCCAAGAGTCTTCCAGTCTCCCAGGACAGTCCATGCGGCAGAGCTCCTCAAAATAGAGTTTGAAAGCCATGATGAAGACGACTCTGTGTTTTTGAGCAAGATAATACTATTCTAGAAACATTGGATTAGCAACCCTAAGCAGGATTGATTTGAAGGAGAAAAACAAAGTTAAATGGGTATCAGTGACCTTACTGTGAAGTGCTCCAACTGAGCTTCCTGTAGCGATTGGAATCCTAGTTTAATGGGTGTTTTGCAGAATATTTAGGAAGATTTAGATACAAACCACGTTGGTGGGTTTAAATCAACAGCTTCACGCCATCAACATCATACCCAAGGTCTGTCACTGTAAGCCTGTGGACTAGCTCTCCTCTCAAGAGAGGAACTTAACTTCTTTGCATTTTCGGCTCAGTTGGTCTTCCGTTTCCCCTCTGCCTAGCTCTGTAGGTGTTGTTCAGACAACCTACCTCAAGTATGGTTCATATGTACTGTCTGTGAAGCTCACTGTGCGTTGTCATGCTGTAACACATTCCTGCCCTAAAAGCACCTATTCTCTTTCTTCCTCTTCTTTCCAAAGGTAGTAACAGCTATCACAACTGCTTAGAGTTCCCTAAATTCTTACATGTGTATACTTTTATTCTATTATCTCAGGAATTTGAAAGTTACCAGATAAAATTTATTGGCTGCTGCTTACTGAATCTTAACAATTGATATTTGAGCCATTAACTAATCAATGATTTCTTTCATCTTGTTTTATTATTAGTCATTTAGGTAGAAACATCTTCTACAGATATGAGAGATTGCAAACTTTACCTGTTAGGTTGTGATGGGAAACTTTATTGGATACATCTGGTTTCCAGTGAAACCTGTGTTCACTGAAACATTAATACTTTGAAATATGGCTTTAAAAACCTCACAGTGATCACTAATTATACTTAATATCTAGAAAGGTCTATGTATGTATGTGCCACTATATATTCCCTGTCTATGGCAGGATGTCAAAAAGTTTTATCCACATTATGAAAATTAATAAATTAATATTGATGGTGTCACCCTAGGCTGACATCAGGAGTTCTGCTGTATATGACAACTATTTAATAAATAATTCAGAAGCTTCACATTTGCATTGAGAGTTCTCAAACACCTTCTCAAGATGATGAAAATACATTTCCTCATCTATATAGAATAGTCTGATGCTCTTAGAATTGATTACCTTCCATTGAATATTCATTGAGTGCCTACTGAATGCATACATGTACAGAATTCTGGATGTTCCTTCTCCTCTCTTTCTGAAGTTGATTTATACTTTGGTGTGGACCTAAAAGTACAGCTGACCACCCAGCTCACTACCTTAGCTCTTAATGCCTTAGATTGATTGATGCTTAGAATCTTAGTATTTTCTATTTTATAATTTTAGAGAAATGTTTTTCTTTCCCATTATTCTTAACCATATCTAACCTCATTCAGATGTAAATTTGCATTTTTAGTTTGTGACCATTCGTTCTTACTCTTAGTCCTAATTTTTAGTTTCAGGTCCTTTCATATTTTATTTGCCTTTTCAAGGTGACTTGAATTCCTTTTCTTTCTGGGATGAGGCTGTGAATAAATTATTTGATAAAATATCTGTATTTTCACCTGAGCGTTTATGATATTTTGAAAATCATGCCTATAGAATAGGGTGATCTCATCTGAAAAGAGTATCATAAAGGGGCACCTGGCTGGCTCAGTAGGTAGAGTATGTGGTTCTTTTTTTTTTTTTTTAAGTTTTAGTTATTTATTTTGAGAAAAAGAGAGAGAGCATGGGCAGGGGGAGGGCAGAGAGGAAGAGAGAGAGAACCTCAAGCAACCTCTGCATTGTTGGTTTGGAGCCTGACAGAGGGCTAGAACCCACAAACCGTGAGATCATGACCTGAGCCGAAATCAAGAGTTGGACACTTAACCGATTGAACCACCCAGGTACGTGGAACATGTGGTTCTTGATCTCAGGGTTGTGGACTTGAGCTCTAAGTTGGGTATAGAAATTAGTTAAAGATAAAATCTTAATAACAAAACAGTATCATATGATGAAAATTAGATCTTCAGAGTTCTCACCGCACACACATACACACACAAACACACACACACACACACACGCAAATAGTAACTATGCGAGGTAATGGATGTTGTAAGTAATTTTATTGTGATGATCATTTTACAGTGTATATGTATATAAAATTATCACATTATGCATCTTACATAATGGTATATATCAATTATATCCCAATAAAGCTGAAAAAATTTGACTCAGAAATACAGTTTAAAAAACCCTTAAAATTATGTTGCTTATTTACTCTCAAGTATAACAAAATAGCCCAGTCTTTTCACTCAAAGCTTTTTCTTTCTTTCTTTCTTTTTTTAAGATTTTATTTTTATTATCTCTATACCCAACATGGGGGCTTGAACTCACAACCTTGAGATAGAGTCTCATGCTCCACTGACTGAGCCCGCCAGGCACCCCTCAAAGCTTTTTCTTAATAAATTTCTATTCCTATCTTTTTCTTTAATCTTTCTTATACTTCCTTTTATCTGTTTCTTTCTCCTTTCCTTGCCTCCTTCTTCCCTCCCTCCCTCCTTCCTTCCTTCCTTCCTTTCCTTCCTTCCTTCCTTCTTTCCTTCCTTCCACTCTTGGTCCATCTTAATACATTTTTTTTTTAATTTTTTTTCAACGTTTTTTATTTATTTTTGGGACAGAGAGAGACAGAGCATGAACGGGGGAGGGGCAGAGAGAGAGGGAGACACAGAATCGGAAACAGGCTCCAGGCTCCGAGCCATCAGCCCAGAGCCCGACGCGGGGCTCGAACTCACGGACCGCGAGATCGTGACCTGGCTGAAGTCGGACGCTTAACCGACTGCGCCACCCAGGCGCCCCAATACATTTTTTTTTTAAATAGCACTTTAATTTATGTTGGTTACACACACAGTTTAAAGAACCAGCTGGTTCTATAGTGCTAACAATGAGAACAGTAGCCTCTCACTCTCCTTCCTTCCCCACTTCTGTTTCCTATTCTTGTCTCTTTTAGTTTAATCTTTTGGTGTTTACCCCTAGATCTTGCAATGATTGCTTTTACTGTTACTACTTAGTTTCTTATTTATTAGATTTAGGCATTGCCACTGACTTCCTATTATGAGGAATGAAAGTTTAGCTTCCTTTCACACCCCTTCCTGCCCTCCTCCTCACTCCATTTATGTATTTCTAACCCACTTTCCTCCCAACATTAACAATTTGGTTAGATCAGTATATGTATGTACTGATATATATACTGTAATATATAAATATTATATATTTACGTAATTATTTCTCTGCAAATGCTTTTATTTCTAAGCCATGTAGTATATAGTTACTTTTCTTATACATCTTCTTTTGCTGCTAATACTTTAAAATTTTTTGGTTATTTTTGTGTTCTCACTAATTTTTCCCTAGAATTTCCCCCAATCATGTAAATCTTATTTCAGTATGCTCATATATATTAGATATCTACTAATTTTATCTTTTTAAAGATGCAAAGATAAATTCGTGTTTCATTTTACCATCTTTAATGAGAAGTTTTCCTTCCATCTTATAATAATGCTAAAAATATTAAGATAATGTGCAATCAGGTAAGGACTCTTGAAACGTCGTAATAGCAAGACTTAATATAATAAGTACTTTAAGAGTCTGTTGTGTGTCTTGTACTCATAGGTGTTCAGAGAGACCACTTTATTTGCTACTTAAGTGAGGAATTAGAAATCCTGTTTTATGGTTGCCAGTCCCTGATTTGTAAATTGTGCAGATGATCTTTTAACCTGTGATTGTTTGAAATTATATGAAGTTCAGTTCTATGCCAGGGACTTTAGTTAATGAACTAATTAATTACTTTTACCACAAGGTAAAGATGTAAGGCTTTGGTTCTGCTACATATTTGTCAAACTACATTGTTGTTTATTCCTAGTGTGTCGTGGCTACCATAGCTTTTGGCATGGGCATTAATAAAGCTGACATTCGCAAGGTCATTCATTATGGCGCTCCTAAGGAAATGGAATCCTATTACCAGGAGATTGGGAGAGCCGGCCGTGATGGACTTCAGAGTTCTTGTCATGTACTCTGGGCTCCAGTAGACATTCAGTCAAATAGGTAAAAACATTTCTTGCTTTCACCCTTGCGGATTTCTTTCTTTCCACATAAGCTTTGAAAGTATTTGTAGCAGCATCCAGACTTTCAAGTGATGTGTTAGGTGCATTTGAAACCAAACCCAAACAAGACATCTCAAGAACATTCGTGGTAAGTGTTGCCACCCAGAGGAGATGACCTGATGTCAGCTCTACCTCATTTAGTGTGAGGAATTAACTAAATGGGGACTATACTGGGAATGGAACATAGATCGTATGGGTGCTTTCCTAATCGTGCAGGGACAAACTATTTTCTGTCTCCCCAGGTCCTCTCAAGTTTGATATGTGTTCAGCCATAGTTTCTTCAGATACCGTTTATTTTGTTATTGGTTCTTTCTTCCCATGCTACAGTGGTACTTATTCCAAGAGACTTTTTACCAATTCCTGTTTGTCTCTCCTTACCATCTGTTTCTTTTGTTCTATGAAAGCATGCCAGCTCTCATTGACTGTGTGTGAATAATCATGTTGCACTGTACCCATTCACTGTACTGATTGACTACCATGAAAAAAATGAAAGAGTTCAGTGTTTAAATGTAAGAAAACTTAAAGCAAATCTTCGTTGGCATGTAAATTCTATGAGATTTATATAGGAAAGGAAAACTTCATCTTGCAAAAATTTTAGGGGCAGCTGTTAGCAACTGATTTCCTCTTCCAGAGGGGCGATAAAACCTCAGGAAAAAAACTTATATATGGTAACTGATGGGGCTGTTAAGATGAGGTATTTTCAAAATGCACCTCCATGTAGCTGAATAAATTGAGCTCTTGAATGGACATATTAGCTCGTGTTATTAAAATGATAAGTGTGCCTATCCAATCCTGTTTTTATTTCATTCATCATTCAGCAGTGCTCTGTTTTGAGTGCCCACTATGTTCTAAGCATTATGCTCTGTGCTGGGGATACAGTGATAAATAAATGAAAACAGATATGGTTCCTGTTTTCATGGGGCTTGGAGTATAATGGAAATGGAAGATCTTAATCGCAGAATCACACAAGTATGAATACATAGGGTTCATTTTCTGTTCTGCATTTGTGTTTGAAAATTCCAATAGTGGAAAGATTATTTATTTATTTATTTATTTATTTATTTATTTATTTTTTATTTAAAAAAATTATTTAATGTTTATTTTTGAGAGAGAGACAGAGAGAACTGAGCAGGGAGGGGGCAGAGAGAGGGACACACAGAATCTGAAGCAGGTTCCAGGCTCTAAGCTGTCAGCACAGAGCCTGACGTGGGGCTCAAAATCATGATCTGTGAGATCATGACCTGAGTGAAGTCAGTCGCCCAACCGACTGAGCCACCCAGGCTCCCTGAAAGATTTTTTAAAAGAGATCATGCAAATCCGTGTAAGATTGCAGCTGTGTTAAGTACAGGGAAGGAAAGTTACATTGAGTAGTGTATAATAGGGTGTGTATTTACCAAAAAGGTCAGGTAAGACTTCTTTCAAGAGGTGGTAGGGTAAGTTGATCTGAAAGAAGAATAGAGATTCATTAGGTAAACATGTTTGATATAAATTTTAAGCTTATCATTTTAAGAGTAGTGGTAGCTTTTGTTTCTTAACATAGTCAATAAAACCATCCCCATAAACAGAACATTACTGTTTTTCTCCTGACTCTTGTCTATGTAAACCTTTTTATAAACTAAAATAATCGGTATAGAGTATAGCTCTGCATGATACTATTAAATTTGGGATTGTATCAAGCGTATGCCGATTCCTGCCAATTCTGATTTATTTGTACATTGTGATAAAAGGTGCTGAATACTTAACAGCCCGAGTTTTATATTATGACTTTACAGGGTCATTAGTAGATATAGTTCCTGTTTATCTGAGTCTCAAAAGATATATTAAATGGTTATCTCATTAAGATTTCACAGGAAGTAACAGTGATTACTAATCAAATAACGGTGCCAGAAAACCCATGCTTGAATCTTGAGTGTAGACAGGTTGTTCTTTGCAGCCATCCTATGGGAAATAAAACTATAGGATTTAGGACAGATCTGTGTCATCCTTGTGACAAACCTCTTCTTTAGAAAACACAAAGTTTGAGAATAAATAGAGTTGCTGGTTCTCACTGAAAAGGTTACTGTAATTTATAAAGTTTAATCTCAATTTAATAGATCTTCCAACTGGTTCCATCTGATTTCTATTTACGGTATTGCTTTTAGAATCTTTCTCTTTTTTCAACTTATTTTTATTATGTGGAATATTGTGCTTTATTTTAAAAGTCTTATAAGAAGAATAACTATTAACTGAATTTGCTTTTAGATGGTTATAATTTCATGTTTGTAGATTTGTTACTGACACTGATGACAAAAAGTAGGTAAATGTAGGTCATTTAAACCAAATATAAGGGAGTCTGTAGTACTTAAAAGTGTAGGCATTGTTTTCTTTGTTCTTTCTGAGGAGAAGGAAGTGAGAAACAAAGCAAAAAAGGAGCTACAGTTGATCCTTGAACAACTTGAGGGTTAGGGCTGCCCGTTCCCCAGGCAGTTGAAAATCTGCATATAACTTTGACTCTCCCAGTAGCCTACTTGTTAACCGGAAGTGTTAGGGATAACATAAACAGTTGATTAGCACTTATTTTGTGTGTTAAATCTATTATATACTATACTCTTACCATAAATAATATAAAGAAAATAAAATGTATTTTAAAAAATCATAAGAGAAAATACATTTACAGTACCATACTGTATTTATAAAAAAAACTTCACATGTAAGTGGACCCATGCAGTTTAAACTCGGGTTGTTCAATGGTCACCTGTAATTTTTAGCCCATGAGCTAGGAAGAATGAGATTAGTAAGAACTAGAGTTAATAGAAGAGACTTTTAGGTAAATTATGTGGGAAGTCATGGTGGTTGGTGGTGTTAAATCATAAAAATGTTTTTGAATAAGAAATCATTTGGGTGTCCAAACTTTCCAGAACTCACTTAACTGGATTCCCTGTTGGTATAATCTTTGAGAATTGTGCAGAGGTGTTTTTATCTGTCAGAAGGTTGAATAGGCATAATATTAGTGAGTTCCGTTTTGATGAGGATCAGGATTATGAATTAGATCTTATATGTAAATATTTTCTTTTGAAATATCTGAAATGTATTCAATTCAGACTTCTGTTTATTATTATTATTATTATGATACTTATGTTTATTTTTGAAAGAATTCTTGGAAAGACATGCCAAGGGAGATTGTCATCTTCTGATATCTGATATTCATGGGGTTTCTTCAAAGAAGACTAGAATTAACAGAGTCAGGATAAGTCACAGCAGCATTAACTTTTTAAAAACAAAGATGTCTTGGGGCCCTTGAGTGGCTCAGTAGGTTGAAGTCCAACTTCAGCTTAGGTCATGATCTCACGGTTTGTGAGTTTGAGCCCTGCATCGGGCTCTCAGTGGAGCCCTCTTGTCCCCCCCTCTCTCTCTGCACCTTCCCCACTCACTCTCTATCTCTCTCAAAAATAAATAAACATTTAAAAAAAAATACGTCTT